ATATTACCTACAGGAGACTGGGACTGCTATGGGTACAACTTGTGCTCCCACATATTCGAACCTGTTTTTGGGTTGGTGGGAGGAGAAAATGTGGAAAGATCCAAAATATAGTCTGTACCACAGATACATATTGAAGTGGTACAGATACATCGATGACATGCTCTTACTATGGACCGGTCCTGTACAAGCCTTTGAAGATTTTGTGAGAACGTTAAATAATAATCAAATTAACTTGGCATTAACTCATGTTATTGATGAGAAAGAATTAGTCTTCCTAGATCTTAAAATTCTACTAATGGAGGATGGAACTGTCCAAACAGAACTTTTCAGGAAATCCACATCAACTAACAGCCTTCTCCATTGGGAGAGTCATCACCCTTACAGATTAAAAGCTTCAATCCCGTACAGCCAATATTTAAGAGCCAGGAGAAATTGTACTCAAGACTCTGCTTACTATCATGAATGTCAGACTCTTAAATTGCGTTTTAAAGCCTTGGGATACCCGAACAAAGTTTTAAAAAGAGCATACCAACGTGCGAGTGAAACAGACAGATTGGTAAACTTAAAATCTACACGTACAAAACCAAATGCATCGACTCCGAGATGCATTGCCACTTTTGATAGTGGTTGGAGCCAAATGACACAAACTTTCTCTACACATTGGCCCATTCTCTTACATAATCCCATTTTGAAACAGTCATTGCCAAATCATCCCACAATTACGGCCCGGAGATCAAAGAACCTCAAAGACCTTTTAGTTCATAGTTTTCTGGCTCCCATCCCATCAAAATCAAACTGGCTCACCAATACAAAAGGAACATACAGATGTGGCCATTGCAAGGCTTGTCAGTTCATTACTCCTTCTCAAATTACTACATCTACACAATCTCACATTACCATTAAAACCAATGCCTTTGTAAATTGTAATACCACTCGAGTGATATACCCGATTACTTGTAAATGTGGCATCCAGTACATTGGAAAGACTTACCGCAGAATTCTTCAACACATCAATTCTATTAAAAACATCACAACCCCTACACCTGTGGCGAGGCATATTACGAATTTCCATCAGGGAAATGTCGATAATCTTCGTTTTCAAACTATAGAGAAATTACTACCTAATCCTAGAAAGGGTAATTTCAATCAACAATTACTTCAAAAAGAATCAAAGTGGATATACTCATTCAGGACTTTGACTCCACAAGGGCTCAATGAGGAGTTCAATTATACCCCTTTTATACATTGACATATATTATCTTTTTGGAATGTTTTCATATATTCAGTCATTTGAGTCAGCATTAAGCAAGAAATTAATTTTATGATAATAACATATGCATACACCTTTTTTTAAAAAAAAAAAAAAACACAATATAAATAAAAATAAAAGTAATTTATTATCTAAGATTATATGTAATTGTTTACATTACAAAGAATACTTCATATTACATTAATTCAAAGCGCTCTTTCTATCCATTATCCCAGCTCTCTACCTTACTATGATATACATAATAATTTAACTAATGGTAGTTTTAGACATATTGGTTACATACCACTGTATAATCATTATAATCTCTTACAAATGTGCATGAGATGTCACAGATAAATTCATGATATATTGCTTTGTTTATTCTCTTAACATTGCAGATTAATTATACTTTAATTTTTTTTTTTTTATATAATCTGTTCTGTTATACATAAAACAATAACAGTTATCCTATAATTAGATTATGAGAGCTTTTTTGTCCCAAGCTGACCACCATACATAGTCAGCGATCATCTCATGACGTCATTTTTGAACCACCAATCAGTGAATAGAGCGCCTTATTTAAACTTAAGCCGACAGCTCTACAGCTCCCCTTGAAAAGCCGCCTTACCGGCGAAACGCGCGTCGGGGTTTGGGAGATTCCGAGTTTATGTCATCTCAGTCCTAGTCTTATATACATAGATTTTGTTACTTTGGCGGGATTTATCTAACGAAACTTTAAATCAACTTGTGATCTTTATAGTGCTAGGCTGGGATTCGGTCAAGACTTTTTTCTTCTCGCACATCAGGGCGTTGAAGTTTATATTTCTCACCACGCTTATCAGGGTGTTTCAATTCATATTCAGTCTCTACTTATTTGTGACAGTTAGCTAGCTTAGCGTTTTTTTGAGATAGGTGCCCTCGAAGGCACAGTGAGATTTTTTCGTTAGATGGTGTTACACATATATCTAACGATCTTAGTTTAAGTCCTTGGTAAATTCTGTCGGACAAAAGATTTTTCTGGTTATAATTTACATGTTCTAATTTCATTTATCAGGACATGTGGTAGCTAGCTAGTCTAACTTTCTGATTAGAGGTACTAGTTTCTGTTACATAGTTTCTCTATATATATCATAATCCTATTGTCTAAATCTAGCCCTCTGACCATGTATTGGGCGATAATATTTCTTTGTAGAGATCCATGTTCATAGTAACTATCCATAGTGACTTATATGTATATACATAGTTTCCACCTGTCCTACCTCTAACAGTTAGACTGAAAAAGAATCCTTTTTAGATGGACCTGTCTTACTCTATATCTCTTAGAATGGGAATACATGTCTGTTCACATTAGACAGATTAAGGTTTAGACCTAGTGAGTCATTTAGATATAACAGCTGACAGATTATAGCACTTTGCAACATTAATTTGTGTCTAGCTGTTATTATCTGTGAAGTGTCCAATGATGGCTAAAAAGTTACAACTTACCTAACACCAATTTGGACTTTCTTCTATTAATTACGATTATCTATCTGTCTATTTTTAACTTTCACTATTATTTCACTTATCTTATATTTCCCCTGTTGGAAATTGAGGTTTCTTTAATATCAATTTATTTGTTTTCTTTTTTCATTTTTTCTCATTATCTTTTTATAAATTTACTATTAAAAGTTATATTTTAAATATACATAAATATTTCCTTGAGGCAGTGCATTAGGTCCAGCACTTTCCTGGTCCCGTCCACCCCCTGTCGGCCTTTCACAAATCCTACTTGATCATCACGTACAATGGTTGGGATTATGTTTGCTAGCCTGTTGGCAAAAATTGTCGCAAATAACTTTATAGCCGTGTTCAGTAGCGATATGGGTCTAAGGTTCTGTCCTTTATTAGGGGGTTTGCATGGTTTTGGTAATGCCATTGTATGTGCCATCAGCATCTCCTTTGGCGTAGAACCTGTATGTAGCATAGTCTGGTAGGCTCTAAGCAGGGGAGGCCCTAGCGTGTTGTGGTATATATTGTAGTATTGATTTGAGAACCCATCTGGTCCCGGTGATTTCCCGGTGGGCAGTGCTTTAATAGTGGAGGTAATTTCGTCTATCGTAATGGGGTTTTGTAGTGTTTGCTGTTGTTCTGGGGAAATGGTTGGTAGGTGGACTTGGGCCAGGAAATTATTTATGTCTGTTTTTGTCGGTTGGTGAATGTTGTTGTCTTGTTTTTGTAGAGTCCCGCATAATATGTTGCCAGTTCATCTGCTATGTGTTGGGGATTGTATATTTTTGTGCCATCCGGGTGTGTAAGAAATGGGATTTTCGATGATTGTCTCTGCTGTCTGAGGTGTGATGCAAGTAGTTTCCCTGCTTTATTACTCTGGGCATATTCTCATGTCTTGAGTTTCTGCATCATGTAAGTGGTTTTGTTGAGGTGCCATTCGTTAATCAGTGTTTGTGTCTGGTCAATGACAGACTGCAGGGCTGGCAATGGAGATAGGAATTGTTGGGTGGTAGCGTCTCGTAATTGTCTCAGTAGTGTCAAGAGCTTGGTTTCTGATGCTTTTTTGATGTGTGCCGCTCGGCTAATGAGTATTCCCCTGATTACTGACTTGTGGGCCAGCCATTGTGTCAGTGCTGTGCTGTCTCGGGTGTCAGTGGTTTTAAAGTACTCCTGTAGGTCTTTGTCCAGTTTCAGTTTGAAGTGTTCGTCAGTTAGTAAGAGTCGTTGAGCTTCCATGGAGCTCTGCGTTTGGTTTACATTTGGGCTGTATATGTTTGCTATCTTGTATATAGTATCATTAATCTTGCAGGTCATTTTTAGGTACCTGCCTTGGTTATCTGTGTTTAGTGTGAGTAGTTCAAATGCTTGTGATCTATGTATCAAGATTGACACCCCTCTTGCTTTGGAAGTGTGGGCTGCGTGGTATTGAGTGGGGTAGTCCTTGGTGCCAAAGGAGGGAATTCTGGATTTGACAAAGTGTGTCTCTTGTATGCACAGAATGTCAGCCTGGATCTGTTTTGCGTCTCTCAGTAACATCCTAGTAACATCCTACGTTTGTGAGGAGTATTCATTCCCCTCACATTATGCGAGTGTATAATCAGCATTTAAGGATGTAAGGTTAGGTCTGCAGTCTCTCTGTTCGGTCGTAGCGCTAAAGCAGGTTTGGGTGTGAGTCCTATTCCATGGCACTCTTGTTCTGTGGGCCTGGGTGGTAACGTGACGTTTAGCATTAGCGTTAATCTGTTTTGGATTTGGTCCGGTTATTACATCTTGTACCAGGCTTGGGGTAGTGCGGTTCCATTTGGTACAGTTCTTTTTAAAGCCAGGGGTAGGGATCCAGAGGGGGTGTGAACAGGAGTTGTGAGGTAACTAGGGGTTGTAGGGCTATATACATATAATTCCCCTGGTGGGACGCAGTGTCATCTATGTGCACTGCGGGGGTAGGTAACATTTGTTCCCTATGGGTGGCTTGTTAGCTATTTTACACCTTTGGTGGGTGTACAGAAATGAAAGAAAAAAAACATTTTTCTTATTTTTTTCCAGGTTTTAAAGGGTGGGTTGTTGTGCTTTATATAATATTTATCACTTTGCCTTTCCTTCTCAGATAGACACTTAAACTTGGTAATAGTGGGGTTTTCCTTGCCTTGGGTCAACGTGCTCCCAGCAGTCTCTCTTTTACAATTCCTTCTATGTGCTAAAGTCCCATAAAAACTGGTCTGTGCCTGTTGTGTGCGGCTTTCGTTAGCCAGTGATGATGGTGGTCCCCCGGGTCCCGCTTTGTCCACTTTCTCTGTCTCCCTCTGTGTACCCCAATTTGTTTCCTTCTCTCCCCAATCATTATTCAGAGGGTGTAGAAACCCCTTGTGTGCTGGATGGCGACGATAAGGGTTCCGTGTTCATGGGAGGGATGTCCATCCTATTCCCTGTGGCGTTACCTCAGGTCTACTCTGGGACCCCAGGTGTAATGGGTGCAAGGGGTAATGTGTCTGCTTTTGGTGTGGCACAAATCATATCCCCTCTATAACATGACAAATAGTTACATGAATGTAGTAAAATTGAAGCATAAATACCATGGCTCCAAGTAACTCAGCAGTCATTACCATTATCCTCCCCAGGGATTTAGCTGTGGTTCTTCTCTGGTTACTGGTTTTAAGTGTGGCCTGGTGGCCTGCCTGGGGGGCTAAAAGTCCGCTATGGAGATAGGCATGTCGCCCCTTTCTCATCCCGCTTTTGGTTGTGTTATCCCTATATCTCGCGTTGGATTCACTGGAATAGGCTCCAGTTTCCTTCTCCCATTTAGTGACAGTGATTGCTTTGTCTTAACCCTTTCTTGCAGGACTGTGTTGGGAGTTGGGGCAGGCGGCGTTAGTTTCCCCTTGTGACACCCGGGACCATGAGTTTGCCTGGCTTCCCTGGTACAGGTGGGTAGCGGAGAATTACTGGCGGGCTTTGCTTTTTTCCCGTTTTGCTTATGGGTTGTGGTGGTCGCATCATAGGGAGTAGTATGGGCACTCGGGGGAATATGTACATTTTCTATCTACTGACATTGACATTTCAGCATATGCATTAGTACATTGGCTTCCTAGAGCCCATTTCAGAACAAAAATTATTAGGGTGAACCTGCAACATTAAAGCTTAAGAGATACTTGCTGTGCTGAGAGTTCGTGCGCCCAAGAGGCAATTCAGGGCGATTAGCGTCTATGAGGTGTTTTGTGCCAGTCCAGTAGCAGTCTCTTAGGTTGGGTGGCTGCTTGTTCATCAGGTAAATTTTCAAGTCCCCACCATCTCATCTGGCTGAGGCCGTCTTCAGGGGAGGTGATGGAGATCATTTTCCCTTCTCTGTTGATCAGCATTTTGACTGGAAATCCCCAGCAGTACCGTATGCCATTGGATCTAAGAGTCTCCGCGATCAGAGCAAAGTCTCTTCTTCTGCGCAGTGTAGCTGAGGAGAGATCCGTGAATAGCTTCACCATCGGGTATTCTTCAGGTGGTTTCACCTTGTTCCTGCTTGCTCTGAGGATGTGCTCCTTAATATGGTAGTAGTGAGCACGCAGAAGGACATCCTTGGGGGCCGTGTCAGGTAGGTGTCTGGGCCATGGGACTCTGTGCATTCGGTCCACCAGGAGCATGTCAGTAGGGATTTCGGGTGCAAATGCGTGGAGGAGGCTGATAGTGTGAGCTGGTAGTCTAAGCAAATGCGTGGAGGAGGCTGGTAGTGTAAGTTGGTAGTTCTGTCGGCAAGACACTTTCAGGCAATCCTCTGACGTGGATGTTATTGCGTCTCGCCCAGTCTTCCAGGTCGGCTAGCTTCGTTTCAGTGCACTCCAGTGGCCTCCAGGTCTTCCACGTGGCTTGCCAAATCATTATGAGCAGAGGTAAATTCCTCCATTTTGTTTTCAGTATATGCTGTGCATTGGCCTAATTCTTTCACGTCTTTATGAAGGGAATCCATGGATGCCTGCATTTTGGTCCCCTCCTTGTTGCAGGGTGTCTGTTCCCTCCATGCTGTCACCATCTTTATTTGAGGCCTGTTGGTCTGCTTGGTCAGGCGCCATTTTTGTGTGTGAAAAAAATGATTTTTTTCTGCCTTAGTATTCGTCTTCTTGTTCTTAGGTTGAGACATCGTCGATTTGAGGCTTTTATTTACAGCTTGTACACTTGGATGGTGCTGGATTCAAAGCTCTTGAGCCGGGCTGTGGTTTATGCTTCCACCATGCTTGGCAGCTAGCCATGACTCCCCCCTCCCCCCCGGTTCTGTTTTGGCATGTCTGTGGGCCCGTGGGCTCAGTCGCCGAGTACACTAGTGAGTTCCATTGCCGTTCCTCCTCAATTGTAGGAAGTATTGCGGGCTTAGTATAAGTGTTGGTACACGGCTGTAGCTATGTTCCTGTGTATGGAAAAAAAAGGGAGGAAACCGCGCCTTATATGAATTATATATACATACACTTGATGTCTCTTAGTAGTTGCAGATAATTTGTCCTCAAAAAGAAAACAGAGAAAATATCTACAATAGTGTAGTATGTTTAACAATATTAGAGAAAAGTGATAAATAAAACGGAGGTATTTTACACTCACATTTGGTAGAGCTGCTGTGGGAGCTCTACCGTGATAGGTGTGGACGGTACAATCCCCGTCTTACGATAAGAGGTCCAACGTCTTAAGTACTCCAATGGTTTGATGGTACAGATAAAAAGAAAAACAGGAAACTCCAATAGTGTAGTAATTCCAATTTCAAGTATAAATAAATATAAGTATTTATACTCACATTTACTAGAGCAGAAAACTTGCTCTAGTATATAGGGCTTGCAGTGGTATAATCCCCACTGTAGGATATACAGGCCAGGAAGTTTGATGGTACAAATAAATATAATGAAAATAGAGTATAGCTTTAAAAATATATTTAATGGTAATACAAATAGAATAAAATAAAACGCTATATAAAATATCACTTAACGCGTTTTGCCAATGGCTTCATCAGAAGTGTGAAAAAACATGCATCAAAAAACTTCCTTTAAATATATGACTTACATATTAAACATAATTGGTAATGGCTTCCTGGTGTGCCCCAGTCAGAAGAACACTAGTAGGCAAAAACCGGAAGTGGTGCGGCGTCCACGTGGGTATAGATAACCAGCGTGGAACGCACGCGTCCAAACCGGAAGTGGCGTTCGCGTGTGTAACCCTATCCACCGCGAAACGCACGCGTCACGCCGGAAGTGACGCGGCGTCCACATGGGTGAAGTATAGGTATGCGTTCCACTGTGGAACGCATAACAGCCGCGGCCACAATAAGTGGCTCGAGAGGGGGCAAATTCATAATATTAAAGTGCAACATATGTATAAACAACAGAATAATAATTCAATAATAATATTCAAGTGCAACATATGTATAAACAACAGAACAGTCACTCATCATTGCAATAAAGGGATAATAAAGAAAATTCTTATATCAAACAAATCAGGCATCCTGCATTACACAAAAGGTATCCATTAAAAACATATATATAAGCAGCAAAAATAGAAAATTAAAAATAAATAAAAAATTGATTAAAAATTAAAATAGAAAGTTCTTAAAATTCTATTTTAATTTTTAATCAATTTTTTATTTATTTTTATTTCTATTATTTATTTATCCTGTTTTTCTTTTTATCTGTACCATAGTACCATTGGAGTACTTAAGACGTTGGACCTCTTATCCTAAGACGGGGATTGTACCGTCCACACCTATCACGGTAGAGCTTCCACAGCAGCTCTACCAAATGTGAGTGTAAAATACCTCCGTTTTATTTATCACTTTTCTCTAATATTGTTAAACATACTACACTATTGTATATATTTTCTCTGTTTTCTTTTTGAGGACAAATTATCTGCAACTACTAAGAGACATCAAGTGTAAGTATATATAATTCATATAAGGTGCGGTTTCCTCCCTTTTTTTTTCCATACTGTTTCTTATCAAGGCTGGGAATCCTTGTTTTGGTTACTGCTGCCTATTTAACTGTTTATTTTTGGAGTGAGCACCCGACATATCTCTTATGTTCCTGTGTAGGTTAGAGGCATATTGTGTCCTCCTGGGGGAGGTAAAGGTGTGTCTTGGTTCCTTGTGTGGCTGCAGTCGAGGAGGGTTACCAGTCAGTGATGGCTCCATTATTCCGGAACTGCCGGTTGTCGCTGAGTGTTTCTTTCTTGTGGTCTCTCCCGTCTCTGGTGAGGGGAGAGGAACCTATGATCGGCTCTTCTTTTCTTCGCGGGGGTGAGCCATCTTTGCCGTTGTGGAAGGTTTGTAGTATTGGGATTCAGTTGCTGTGAATTACAATCCATTATGTGGGTGTCTGGTAGGTCTAAAGCTCTAAGGAAAGGAGGGATGTCAATCGGTGAGGTTATGGATAAGGTGGTTCCCTTATTTGAAACGATCAGAGCAAAGGGAAATCCCCATCTGTACTTGATATTGCATTGTCTTAGGTGATCTGTGATGGGTTTCAAATCTCTCCTCGCTTGGAGGGTATACCAAGAGAGGTCTGGGTATACTTGTATGGGGTTACCGTGGCATAGTAGTGGTTGCGAAGTATCTCTTAGTGTTCTTAGGATGTTGTCCTTAATAGAGAAGTAATGCACCCTGCAAATGATATCTCTTGGGGTGTTTGGGGAGAGGCTTTTAGGACGTAAGGAACGATGGGCTCTATTTAGGATTATCCCATTGTCACTGGGTTCACCTAAGATTAGGTTGAAGAGCTCAGTGAGGATTGCTGCGATATCCTCTCCTTGAGTTTCCGGTAGGCCCCTTATGCGCAGGTTGTTCCAGCGGCCTCGATTATCTAAATCACATATGTGCCTTTGAGTTGTTGATAGATGCAAAACATGTGATTCCATTGCTGAGGTGATATTTGTAATTTGGGCTTGTAATACCTCCCTCTCCTCTTCCAGGTCCGTGACCCGGAGGGATAGTTGCTCAACATCCAAGCCCATTGCTTCCATCCTGGAGTGGAAAGTGGCTTCGAGCTTCCCCAACATAGTCTGAAGATCGTTTTTCGACGGTAGGTTTCTCAATAATTCTCTGATGTCGGGTTCTGCACTAATATCTGTGGTTTTGTGCAATGATTCTGACCCTGACGGGCTGTGTGGAGATAGTTCTGAACACATAGGGTGGAGTAAATTGCCCAGCTCGGATTGATAGGTATGGCTGAGTAGACCGTGAAAATACTGCTTGTTCACCCTTGCCTCTGTTTTTCATTCCTTGAATTAGGTTGTGGAAAGAGTACTAAAGTGAGGTTCTTTCTCAATACTTTGCACATATATAACATGCTAAGGTAGCTTGGTTTTCAGATAGAATTGACTTTTCTTTGTTGGCCATTTGCTGGCCATCATTGAAATCAGACCTTTTAATGGCATTCTGGGAGATGCCAGCAGGTGTTTGATTGGTGGAGGAGTCATTTGATCACACTCGAGTACAAGACATGTGGAAGTTGCATGCCATAACATGGGGACTTCACAGAGAAGCACTGCCTTTCTTTACCTGAGGTCACTGACTAGGCTATCACTGCATATATCACACTACACCTGGGATTCCATTAAATTGCACTTCTCACACCTTTTGAGAGTTTATGTTGATTTTGATTCAGTGATGGGGGAGCCAACTCCAGTGTTCCTCAGAATATTTAAGTAACATTTGCTTTGGAAATATACTCACCAAATGTAAATTAAAGGAGCTAATTTCAGAGCTAACTTTAGTATATGGACAACATTTATCTTTAAACAACAACCAAAAACTTCTGGGAATAGAGGTAAAAAGATCATTAATGAAATTACTAATTTTATACTACACAAAATACCACAAAATCATTATGTCATTAGGCACACAAAATTACCCAAACAACTTTTATATAATAAACTAATACATAACTTACCTCTAAAAGCATTATAAAGATTGTCTAAAGCCTAATTAGTATAATTTTCTAATGGTATAATTTCTCTGTGCAGTTATTGAATTAATTAGATTTTAGAAACAAATGATAGATTGGCCTCATTTCACTGTTCATTGCATTACTCTACAGTTAGCATCATCCCAACCAGTTATTACCTATTTTTTAAAAAAAATATACATTTTCTAGAGATTACATTAATTGTGATGCAAACATTTTCAAAATACATCTCATCAGGTAGGCATTGGTTATACTCTTGTCCATGCATTATGTCAGAAACTACTTCAAAGTACGAAGTTTATTATTCAGATAGTCCATAATATTGTCCCATATCTCAGGCATGGTTCAAAGTAAGGAGTGACCCCCTTTGAAATACTCCTTGAATGCCCACCCATATTGATTCAATAACTAGCAATGTTCAGAGGTAAATTAACTTTTTGGTTAAAATATATGTATACAAAAACACTAGTACATAGAATATTTGGGGTCTTCATAATGCAGTACCCTTAATAATTGTCCAATCTGTATCTCAAAATATGAAAAATCCGTGGTCAGGGCAGTAAGACAGTAGATAAAAATAATATTTTAAAGATTAGTTTAACTGCAATTTGCCCAAAGTCAAACGATCGAGTGATCAAAAGTTTGTGTCAGCATCTCAGGGGAACCAATTGGCATGATGTCAAAGTTAAGCTTCCCAACACGCAAGCTAT